TCACGTGGCCGTAGAGGGTGGGCACCCATCACCCGTAACGGGGCGGGGCCCTACAGGCCACACCTCCTTCAGAGTAGAGCCAGGATAGAGAATTGTGCCTCTTGAGGGACTAGCTTGGAGAGGGCCTCAAAAGGGTGTTGGGAAGCCCCTCAAATTGGGAGCATTTGGAGCATCCTGCAGGTTGCTATGGCAATAAGAAGAGGGCAGGTACCCTCGGGAAAGCAAGCCCAGGAGAGGCACCGGACTCCTGGAGGGGAAGCTCAGGGCCCAGGGGGGAAAGATGGAGTGAAAACTAGTAAGCTCATAGGCCCTTGAACTCTGGTCCCTGCACCCCCCGCAGTGCTGTGTGTGGTCCCTGGCGACCCCTGCCTCCCTGGGCCACCCCTCTCTGAGAGAGGACAGCATTGGCCCTGGTCTCGCTGGGCCATTGGTGACGCCGCCTCCCCTTTGGTCTGCCGCAGGATGGGGCTCTCCACTGCCACCCCGCTCTGGGCCACCCCGGGGCTGCTGCTGGCCCTCGTCCTGCACCCCACTCTCGGCCTGCACCGGGACTACTGCGTGCTGGGCGCCGGGCCGGCGGGCCTGCAGATGGCCTACTTCCTGCAGCAGGCCGGGCGCGACCACGTGGTGTTCGAGCGCCACGCGGGCCCGGGCAGCTTCTTCGCTCGCTACCCGCGCCACCGCAAGCTCATCAGCATCAACAAGAGGCACACGGGCAAGGCCAACGCCGAGTTCAACCTGCGCCACGACTGGAACTCGCTGCTCAGCCACGACCCCCGGCTGCTCTTCAAGCACTACTCCCGCGCCTACTTCCCCGACGCCGGCGACATGATGCGTTACCTGCGCGACTTCGCAGACCGGCTGCGGCTCAACGTGCTGTACAACACGACCATTACCCACGTCACGCTGGACAAGGACAGGCAGGCCTGGAATGGCCACTACTTCGTGCTGACGGACCAGAGGGGCCAGACCCACCGGTGCAGGTAAAGAAGCTAGCCCAGAACTGACCTTTCTAGAAGAGTTACCAGTAAGGTGCGTGAGCCTCAGGAGTCCAGGGGCGTGCCTACCACTCCTCGGTCCCCAGAAATTCTATGCTGGTGTGCCCAGAAAAGTGGTCTTATGGTCACACCCTTAGGAGTGATCAGTCTTTGATGACTTCAAGAGGAGCCCTGGGGATGTAGTGGTTAGGCATTGGGCTGCGATCTGCAAGGTCGGCGGTTTGAAACCACCAGCCGCTCCTGGGGAGAAAGATGAGGCTTTCTAACTCCCATAAAGAGTTGCAGTCTCAGAAACCCACAGGGCCTGTTCTGCCTCATCTGCTTGGGCAGTGGTCTCAACCTGGGTTACGACTCCTTTGGGGGTCTAATGACCCTTTCACAGGGGTCGCCCACTTCCTAACAATGGCAAAATGACAGTGATGAAGTAGCAACTAAAATAA